ATACACTGTATTGGATTAGATAACAATATAGATAACAATATACACTGTATTGGATTAGATAACAATGCAACTGTTCTTGAGATAACAGTGCAACTGTGCTTCATTAGGATAAAAACGTAAACTGTTAGATTAGAATAACAATGTAAACTGTTTACTGATCGGTTAAAACCAGTAACATCACAATGTGTTGAATTACTACGCTGGTATAAAGCTGTTGATTTTGAACAAATAATAAACAACGTGTGCCATCTATCGGTTTACCCAAAATTACCAAATTTGAACAAATGAGATCAGAAGATACATAAGGAACGTTTTTATTCTTAATAATAAACTGAACAACTTTATAAAAGCGATTTGTACAGTGGTTAAAACAAGTATTTTTTTTCTTCTTCTTCGTGCATTCCAGGTTACCACGTTAAACTTGTGGGCAGGAAAGGATATTAACGAAGCTACTAATACCCCACGTATCCATCACCAACTGATTCCCAATATCATCGAATACGAATCGAACTTCTCCAAGGTAAGAAAACGAAAGGTTACGATGATATAAAAGAACGTGCAATTTGTCACTCTACTCGTGCATGGCACGTGACTGCAAATTAAAGTCTCGCGAACCAGTCGGGCTTTTATCGTTATTAGACTACGCGTGCTTGCAAAGAGTGGATTTATTACTCTACTTTATTTGGACATTTTGATGCCACCGCTTCATTCGCACAATTTGTGCATCGTAAAGTCACGCAATGTTGACCAGGGAACTTTCAGGCGGTGTGTTTTTATTACTACTTTCCAGTCTGCATCACATCAAAACGTATACAACAAACGTTATTCGAAAGCACCAGCACTGCAGAGGAGTAAGAGGCGAATCAAAAGTGAGGGGGTGCAGGTTTATTTGACTAAGCAATGCACGAGGGAATGTGCGCCATAGGTATGGGGGGGGGGGGTGGTCAAGGTTTGCCTTAGGGCCCTGGAAGCTCTTGGGTTCTGGATTAAAGTTTATCAATTCCCTTGCTTTTCCAGAGAGTAATTTTCCTAATTTTACTGGGACAGATTGAAAAGTCGGGGGCTCGTCCCACCTCCCCTCGCTTCCTACACCACTGCACTGATAAAAAAAAAATCTAACCTTTATTTCAAAGCGACGTTTCGGACAAATTTTCTTCGTTAAGTCTAATGGCAGTAAAAACTTAAATAATAATCGCATATTAATCGTGTTTGTATTACCATTTCACAACTTATTGGCGCCATCTTGTGTCTACAGCAGTTCGTGCAGCAAGCACGTGTCCCACACTTTCAGCTAGGGGCGTTAAATTCGTGATAGTCTTGTTTGTTGAATTTCGCACAGAGCTTACGCAGGGGCTATCTTCTATAGCCGTCTCTAATTTATCAATGACAGATTAGGGGGAAGGCGACTAGTCAACATCACCCCCCGCCAACTCTTGGGCTACTCTTCTACCAATGAATAATGGAATTGACCGTCACATTATAACGTCCCCATGGCTGAAGAACATTTTGGCGACAGGATTCGAACCCGCAAATTGCGAGTCGAGTGCCCTGACCATTAGGCCATATCAGGCCTCTCATGACAGCCAATTCCACTATTTAGTTAAGAATAGCCACGTAAGCGGGTGCCCCTGAATGATTTCGCACCCCCCCTTTATTCGGCAGTTTTTACTTAGATATGACCTGAACCTTCATCTCTGACCTGGCTATGTTCTCCATATGTTATATAAGGTGTCGGTCAGGTTTAGAGTACCCAGTACCAAAATAATATTTATAAATTCTTTGTTTATAATATGTTGATAGGTTTAAGACTCAAAAATCTATTCCATCATTTGCGTTATTTTTTTTTTTTACTTTCGGAAGTGGACGTCGTCAGAACGCGACAAAAACTTGGAAATAAACAGCAGATTTCTTCACCTTTAATAAACCAAAATACGTAACGTTTAAAAGGTGCATTGGAAACTCAACAAAGGTAGCTGGGAACGAGATTAAACAAATATAGGTTAAGTAGGCCTAATAGTGTTGTAACGAGTGCACTCTTACAAAAGAAATACACAAACACTGGTTTATATTGAACAATTCAAACTCGGCAATGCAACGACCGTATGTTGTTGTTATATTTAGATTCTCTGTACCAAGAAGAACGATGAGCTAAATGGTTTTCTTTTAACATTCTTGTCACAAGCTTTATTTTGTCTTTTTGTAATGATAATTCATTTACTGTTGGTCCCGAATTCATAATTACAATTCGTCGGTGAGTTTCGAAATCAACTGATGCCTATTTATTGTTCTTTTTGAGCAGGAAGTACTAGAGGGGCTTAAGCTAAGAGGTCACGAAGTTCGGGGGATGTCAGATTCAAAGTCTGGTATCATGTCCATTGCTCGAGGACCAACTGGGCAATTATACGCCAGTTCTGATTACCGGAGAGGAGGGAAAACCGACGGGTTCTAAAGCGACACCTACCGTGTTGAACTGTATGGAAAAGACAACGCCAGTATAAGAGAAGGAGGTCTTAAACAAGCCACTCCTACGTTTTTATCGTCTGCAGTGTTTTAAAATTTATATAATAATATAATTCATCGTACCGACAGCTAAGGTTCTTCAATTTGTTCTAGTTTTACAGGCGGTGTGCACATGCGCATGACATTTTATATAGATAACTTCCAAGATGGCCGCCATCGGAACCGATAAGCTAGGCTATTGAGACACCTTATTCATGATTGTGATATTAATGTAATCGTGTAAAAATTATTTAGATTATTTAATTATCAAACTGTGATTTTGATGTATATATATGTATAATTTCAGGTTTATTTATTTTATAATCAAAAATCAACGTTCAATTTTGGAACATTATTGTAATCTTCGCACTATGATTGTTGTTATTGTGTATTTATATTAATGAGAATCGTTATAGTTCAAATTATTCAATATCTAAGCAAGTTTATTTTGTTTTCGTTTGAATTTCGCGAAAACTTACTCGAGAGATATCTGTGCTAGTTGTCCCTAATTTAGCGATGATAGTTTGTTTGTTTGAAATTAAGCACAAAGCTACACAATGGACTATCTGTGCTCTGCCCACCACGGGTATCGAAATCCGATTTCTAGCGTTTGTAAGTCCGCAGACATGCCACTGGGGGGGGGGAGCAGCTAGTCATCACCCACGACCAATTTTTGTCCTACTCGTTCACCAACGAATAGTGGGATTGACTATTACGTTATAACAGCGCTTGTATGAAAACTATTAATAATTATGTTAACAATTATAAATTAAGTCTCATTACGGTAACCATAGTAGAGATGTTGGTTTTTCCTACAAATACAAGATAAACGCCACTAACATCTGTATACTTAGAAGAAAAGTATATCAGGACGAACCATCATAGTCAGATAGTTGTAGGTTCGAAACCAGATTTGAAAAAGACCAAATTTTTGTTCCAGTCCACCCATCTGGGTGGTTAACCGGCAGTGGGCTGGAGAAATTCTCATCCATTTGTGTCAATTAAGCCGGCAAGGGATTTGACCTTTAAGGAGGGGATTTGACCTTTGACCTATCCATTCACGCCTTATTCCATTTTACGCTGAAGTTTAACTTTGATGTACTCCTGCTGTAGAATACCTCATGCTGGCTTAGCGGTAAGTTTATGGCTTAATAATGCTAAACATCTGGGATCGATCCCTGCGATGGGTACGTTTAGGATAATCCATTGTGCAGCTTTGTACTTAAAAACAGAAATTAATTATAAAATAATCCCTAATAAGTTTACAGAAACCTTGAAAACAAACATTTCAGATATTTTTACAAACTAGTCTTAGTAAACCTCCCGCTTTTTTAGTTAATTTCTCTCTTCCGACGCTCATTCGCAAATTTCATGACTCGTACCACTAAAATTTAAAGTTCAATCCACGCTAGGCAGATACCACATAATGTAGCTTCACGTTAAAACAAAACAATAATTTTGTTGAAACACGACTTTGCTAAGTCCAAAAATAAAAGACAAAGAATTCAACTGTATTTATATTGCGAAATTAAATTATTTGGTTGTTATTTTCCCTTGCGGCAGCCTCTCAAAAAATGTGAAACCATTTTACCTCAATAGCTCAACTTTGGTATAGTTTTTAATAGAAATATTTTAAAAAATGTGAAGATGTTTTCTCTAGTGATTACTTGGAGTATCAAATTGTAAATATACACTTAGCAGGTTATTGCAGCTAAAATATGTATAACTGATTCATTAAAAAAAAAAACTTTCAATTTGTGCCTAATTTTTTTATTGAAAGTAAACTGTATTAATTTTAGTTTGTTTTTTTTTATATATATATACGTGTATATTCTTAACAACTTATATAAGACGTTGTTGGGAAGAACATGTTTTGTAAACTGTTAAAAAAATAGTTGTGTTCGTGAATTACATTTCTTTTACGTCTGTGTGATTTCCAAGTCTCACGAGCAATATTACTCAACAGTTACAACAAATAAAAACTGATTACATTGTTCTTTTAGAAACAGGGTCTTAACTTAACTGTTACCTATTCAACAGTACAATATATACGATGAAGCCTTAGAAATGTATTTCTTTCCTCGCGTTTAGATTTTAACCACTCAAAAGTCGTGTATCAGTACTATAAAATCGCTAAGTTTGCTGAATTTTTTTTTTTTGGCGTTGTCTGTGATATGGAAGATTCTTCCTGGATATCTTCGAATTTTACGAATCCAGGTATTGTTTTAACTTTCGGATGCTTATGTCACGTTTTGTATTCACCAGCCATTTTGCTTTTGGTAGGCCTATTTTTATTTTGGGTAAGCAACAGTACGCGCGATTTTTTTTACTACGTGAGGCAAAGTCCAATTTGCATAAATGGGCGGAGTTTCAACAATTACGTCAGGATAAACAACGAAACGCCGAACTGTAACCACTGTTTGTAACTTGAATTTCACAAAGTACACCAGGCAAAATATTTTTTATCAAGCATCCATTAAATTATGCAATTTTCTCTTGAGATTGTATACAAGGGTTCAGTGTAAGTTCTCATGTAAAATGTGAACACTATCATCATTATGTATGATAAATATGAACAGGCCTAAATATGGTTCCTTACTGTTCCTTTCTGTTTCATAAATAACTTTGCTGAATTCGGTGTATTTAATTACCTTACTGTTTTACTTTTACAATTTAAAAAAAAAAATTGGGGTAAAATGTATATTTACTGTTTTATCCTCTAAGTTTAAAAGATCCTATCGTAAGGATAGATGGCTAAGCCTGAATCCTAACGTTACAATTTAATTAGTTACGCTCTCAATGTTACAGTCTAAACAATACTATTAGTAATACTAGGCCTTGTATTACATACATACATACATACATATATATATATATACATACATAATACACATACATACATACATACATACATATATATATATATATGCATTGGTTTCGTAATTTCTTAAAGACAAACATACCATCAATCTTTCAAACGATGATAAGGTTTGGGTTTCGCAGTCGCTCATTTTACTGCTGTAAGCGTAAGTGACGATAAGTGTAAGTGAATCCTTTCACTTGTATGACGTATAGCTGTAACTCCGCCCATTTATGCAAATTTCGCCTAGTAAAAAAAAAAAAAGCCAACATTACCACCTACCAATTTTAACGTTAAGGTTTTGTTTGCAGGCAATTTAATAAGTTAAAGAACCAACTCTTAGGGGTTTTTTTTTTGTTTTTTACGGAATTCAGGGTTTTCACAACCACTCTTAATTCAGCAACATGCTGCGAACCCTAACATTCACAGTTCGGGCACGTAAACTTCTGGGATACTGTTTCAATCAAACAAGTTATATAATTCTGTACACAGTTTTATTTTGTAAGAAAATACAACAACAAAAATTTAAGTTAAAATTACTAGAACACAATCTTTTTCTTCATAACTTTCTCACTTCCAAATTCTAGTCTTAAAAACCATAAGAAACAAAATGACAGAAACTAATATTTGGTATTGTAGAAAATAATTTAGCATTTAAAAATAAAATGTTAGCTAAAAATAAAAGTGTGATACAAATAAGAACAGGGGAAAATTGCATCATTGCAAGTCAAACTGATTATTTTATGAGATTGGATAAATTATTTATATGAATAAAGAACAGCTCTAAATACATGTTCAAAAGCTTAAAGAATATTGCATATTTATTATTAATTACAAAATAGGTTAAATCTATCCCCAAAACGCTTGAGCTAAAAACAAACAAAATCCTGTTTTAGCTAGATCAGTAGGGAATGAATTATAAAAACAGTATAATAAAACAACTTTACGTTACCGACACTATCATTTTATTAAAATCCTGTAAAAACTGAATTTACATGCAAGTTTGTTTTTGTTTGTTTTACCACATCAAGTTTTATTTAGCGATGATTCTTGGATGAATTAAGAGACGATCTTAATATAAATTCATTGTTACAGCACGTGAATAAAATGATGCAATGTCATCTATTGTTCGAACTATAGCTCCCCCCCCCCCATGTGTTTCTGAATGAAATGTAAGAATTTGTTCTATGTTACATCAACCATATACATTATAAACATCATTCAGGGAAGCAATATTCAGATTATGATATTCGTTCCACTAAGAAGAATAGTTACACCATTTCTTGCTTTTTTTGTTTGACAAAGATTGGGGTTATTGAATTAAAAGTATGAAAAGTTGATAAACGACACTTTTCAGGCCTATAATAAAAGTCCATGATGTTCAGAATAAAGCCAAAACAAAAGTTAATTTTGAATTCTGAAGAAGAGTGAATAATAAATATGTAGATTTATGGATTAACGAACAAACTATGTAACCATAAGAGATAATAGTTTTCATTCTTGTTTTCCTTATAGTTTGGTTACAAAAGTTGTTTTGATCTACCTTGAAATGTTGACAGAAAACTAAGTCTATATGTTATACATGTTACTGAATATGACCGAGTTGGTGATGAGTTTTTCTTTTTATCCCAATTGAAAAATTTGAAGTTTAATGCCAGCTATATAAAACTGGTTCCATACACATCACTCTACACCAATCACTACCCGTCTAGTTCCCACCCACTTCCTGAAATAAATAAATTATGATAATTATTACCTTATCGTACTTATTAGTATTACTACCACCATAATGGTAAAACAATTAAGAAAACGTCCATGGATGTCTTGAACAGTAGGGATGTACATCTACATCTGAGGATGCTTGAAAAGTTGCGTCTGGTGTTTAAAGTAAACGATACTCCATTTTCAAATCTGTGTCACAGACTATGGTTTCGTAAAATCAATGTGATTAACGAGACTTAATGGTTTCAGTGAAAAATCGGAGATTTTTTCAGCATTTTTGAGTGTTATATTTCTGTCGTAGTTTTTCCTGGATTTTTCTGAAGACTCTCCGGTTGTTGGCTTCAAATGGACGTCTTAGACTGCGATAATCTTTGTCGAACCGTTTGATGCCAGGGGCGTGCACGAGGAAAGCGTCATCAAGGATGTGAAGATCGTAATTTAAGACACAGAGTTCAAGT